ATTGTTTTGGGTAGTAGAGTCATTTTCACAATATTGATTCTTCTAATCCAAGAACATGGTATATCTCTCCATCTGTTGGTATCATCTTTAATTTCTTTCCTCAGTGTCGTACAGTTTTCTGCATACAGGTCTTTTGTCTTCCTAGGTAGGTTTATTCCTAGGTATTTTATTCTTTTTGTTGCAATGGCAAATGAGAGTGTTTCCATAATTTCTCTTTCAGATTTTTCATCATTAGTGTATAGGAATGCAAGAGATTTCTGTGCATTAATTTTGTATCCTGCAACTTTACCAAATTCATTGATTAGCTCCAGTCGTTTTCTGGTGGCATTTTTAGGATTCTCTATGTATAGCATCATGTCATCTGCAAGCAGTGACAGTTTTACTTCTTCTTTTCCAACTTGTATTCCTTTTATTTTTTTTTCTTCTCTGATTGCCGTGGCTAGGACTTCCAAAACTATGTGGAATAATAGTGATGAGAGTGGACATCCTTGTCTCGTTCCTGATCTTAGAGGAAATGCTTTCAGTTTTTCACCATTGAGAATGATGTTTGCTGTGGGTTTGTCGTATGTGGCCTTTATTATGTTGAGGTAGTGCCCTCTATGCCCACTTTCTGGAGAGTTTTTATCATAAATTGGTGTTGAATTTTGTCAAAAGCTTTTTCTGCATCTATTGAGATGATCATATGGTTTTTCTTCTTCAATTTGTTAATATGGTGTATCACATTGTTTGATTTGCGTGTACTGAAGGAAACTTGGATCCCTGGGAGAAATCCCACTTGATCATGGTGTATGATCCTTTTAATGTGTTGTTGGATTCTGTTTGCTAGTGTTTTGTTGAGAATTTTTGCATCTGTATTCATCAGTGATGTTGGTCTGTAATTTTCTTTTATTGTAGTATCTTTGTCTCGTTTTGGTATCAGGGTGATGGTGGCCTCATAGAATGAATTTGGGAGTGTTCCTTCCTCTGCAGTTTTTTGGAAGAGTTTGAGAAGGGTGGGTGTTAGCTCTTCTCTAAATGTTTGATAGAATTCACCTGTGAAGCCATATGGTCCTGGACTTTTGTTTGTTGGAAGATTTTTCTTTTTCTGCGTTACGTGGGCCTCTAACTGTTGTGGCTTCTTCCGTTGCGGAGCACAGGCTCTGGACGCGCAGGCTCAGCAGCCATGGCTCACAGGCCTAGCCGCTCCACGGCATGTGGCATCTTCCTGGATCGGGGCACGAACCCATGTCCCCTGCATCATCAGGCGGACTCTCAACCACTGAGCCACCACGAAGCCCTGTTGGAAGATTTTTAATCACAGTTTCAATTTCATTACTTGTGATTGGTCTGTTCATATTTTCTGTTTCTTCCTGGTTCAGTCTTGGAAGGTTATACCTTTCTAAGAATTTGTCCATTTCTTCCAGGTGTCCATTTTATTGGTATAGAGTTGCTTGTAGTAGTCTCTTAGGATGCTTTGTATTTCTGCGGTGTCTGTTGTAACTTCTCCTTTTTCATTTCTAATTTTATTGATTTGAGTCCTCTCCCACTTTTTCTTGATGAGTCTGGCTAATGGTTTGTCAATTTTGTTTATCTTCTCAAAGAACCAGCTTTTAGTTTTATTGATCTTTGCTATTGTTTTCTTTGTTTCTATTTCATTTATTTTTGCTCTGATCTTTATGATTTCTTTCCTTCTGCTAACTTTGGGTTTTGTTTGTTTTTCTTTCTCTAGTTCCTTTAAGTGTAAGGTTAGCTTGTTTACTTGAGATTTTTCTTATTTCTTGAGGTAGGCTTCTATAACTATAAACTTCCGTCTTAGAACTGCTTTTGCTGCATCAGATAGGTTTTGGATCGTCGTGTTTTCATTGTCATTTGTCTCTAGATATTTTTTGGTTTCCTCTTTGATTTCTTCAATGATCTCTTGGTTGTTTAGTAACGCATTGTTTAGCCTCCATGTGTTTGTGTTTTTTACGTTTTTTTCCCTGTAATTCATTTCTAATCACATAGCTTTGTGGTCAGAAAAGATGCTTGATATGATTTCAGTTTTCTTAAATTTACTGAGGCATGATTTGTTACCCAAGATGTGATCTATCCTCTAGAATGTTCCATATGCACTTGAGAAGAAAGTGTAATCTGCTGTTTTTGGATGGAATATCCTATAAATATCAATTAAATCTGTCTGGTCTTTTGTGTCATTTAAAGCTTCTGTTTCCTTATTTATTTTCATTTTGGATGGTCTGTCCATTGGTGTACGTGAGGTGTTCAAGTCCCCCATTATTATTATGTTACTGTCGATTTCCTCTTTTATAGCTCTTAGCAGTTGCCTTATATATTGAGGTGCTCCTGTGTTGGGTGCATATATATTTATAATTGTTATATCTTCTTCTTGGATTGATTCCTTGATCATTATGTAGTGTCCTTCCTTGTCTCTTGTAACATTCTTTATTTTAAAGTGTTTTATCTGATAATGTGTATAGATACTCCAGGTTTCTGATATCCATTTGCATGGAATATCTTTTTCCATCCCCTCACTTTCAGTCTGTATGTGTCCCTAGGTCTGAAGTGGGTCTCTTGTAGACAGCATATATAGGGGTCTTGTTTTTGTATCCCTTCAGCAAGCCTGTGTCTTTTGGTTGGAGCATTTAATCCATTCACGTTTAAGGTAATTAACGATATGTATGTTCCTCTGACCATTTTCTTAATTGTTTTGGGTTTGTTTTTGTAGATCCTTTTCTTCTCTTGTGTTTTCCACTTACAGAAGTTCCTTTAGCATTTCTTGTAGAGCTGGTTTGGTGGTGCTGTATTCTCTTAGCTTTTGCTTGTCTGTAAAGCTTTTGATTTCTCCATTGAGTATGAATGAGATGCTTGCCAGGTAGAGTAATCTTGTTTGTAAGTTCTTCCCTTTCGTCACTTACATATATCATGCCACTCCCTTCTGGCTTGTAGAGTTTCTGCTGAGAAATCAGCTGTTAACCTCATGGGAGTTCCGTTGTATGTTATTTGTCGTTTTTCCCTTGCTGCTTTCAATAATTTTTCTTTGTCTTTACGTTTTGCCAATTTGATTACTATGTGTCTCAGCGTGTTTCTCCTTGGGTTTATCCTGTATGGGACTCGCTGTGCTTCCTGGACTTGGGTGGGTATTTCCTTTCCCATGTTAGGGAAATTTTCGACTATAATCTCTTCAAATATTTTCTCTGGTCCTTTTTCTCTCTCTTCTCCTTCTGGTACCCGTATAATGCGAATGTTGTTGATTTTAATGTTGTCCCAGAGGTCTCTTAGGCTGTCTTCATTTCTTTTCATTCATTTTTCTTTATTCTGTTCCACAGCAGTGAATTCCACCATTCTGTCTTCCCGGTCACTTATCCGTTCTTCTGCCTCAGTTATTCTGCTATTGATTCCTTCTAGTGTAGTTTTCATTTCAATTATTGTATTGTTCATCTCTGTTTGTTTGTTCTTTAATTCTTCTAGGTGTTTGTTAAACATTTCTTGCATCTTCTCGATCTTTGCCTCTATTCTTTTTCCGAGGGCCTGGATCATCTTCACTATCATTATTCTGAATTCTTTTTCTGGAAGGTTGCCTATCTTCACTTCATTTAGTTGCTTTTTTGGGTTTTTATCTTGTTTCTTCATCTGGTGCATAGCCCTCTGCCTTTTCATCTTGTCTATCTTTCTTTGAATATGGTTTTTGTTTTACAGGCTGCAAGATTGTAGTTCTTCTTGCTTCTGCTGTCTGCCCTCTTGCTAGTTTGTTTTTAATGTATGAAATACAACAGATTTTGTATATTGATTTTGTACCTTGAAACTTTACTCTATTCATTTTTTATTTCCAGTAGTTTTTTGGTGGAGTCTTTAGGGTGTTCTACATATAAAATCATATCATCTTCAAATAGTGATAGTTTTACTTTTTCGTTTCCAGTTTGGATACCTTTTATTTCTTTTCCTTGGTAGGACTTCCAATACTGTGTTGAATAAGAGTGGCGAGAATGTGCATCCTTGTTTTGTTTCTTATCTTAGAAGGATAGCTTTCAGTTGTTCACTGTTCACTGTGATTTTTGATGTGGTTTTGTCATTTATGGCCTTTATTAAGTTGAGGTACGTTCCTTCTATGCTCTTTTTTCTTTTTTCTTTTTTTTTTTGTGGCACGCAGGCCTCTCGCTGTTGTAGCCTCTCCCGTTGTGGAGCACCAACCCCAGACGTGCAGGCTCAGCGGCCATGGCTCACGTGCCCAGCTGCTCCGCGGCATGCGGGATCTTCCCGGACCGGTGCACGAACCCACGTCCCCTGCATCGGCAGGCGGACTCTCAACCACTGCACCACCAGGGAAGCCCTGTGCTCATTTTATGTAGAGTTTTTTATCATAATGGGTTTTGAATCTTGTCAAATGCTTTTTCCACATCTGTTGAGGTGATCATATGATTTTTATCCTTTGTTTTCCTAATGTGGTGTGTTATGTTGATTGATGTGCAGATGTTGAACCATCCTTGCCATCCCTAGAGTAAATCCCTTTTGGTTATGGTGTATGGCCATTTTAATGTATTGTTGTATTTTTTTTGCTAATACCTTTTTGAGGATGTTTCCATCTATATTCACCATAGATATTGGCCTATAATTTTCTTTTTTGTCTTGATTCTGTCCTTTTTTGCTATCACAGTAATATTAGCCTTGTAAATTAACTTGGAGGCATTCCTTTTTCTTGACTTTTTTTTGAAAAGAGTATGCATTAAATAGTCTTTGAATGTTTGATAGCATTCACCAGTTATGCCATATGGTTCCAGACTTTTATTTTTTGGGAGGTTTTTGATTACTATTTCAGTCTCCTTATTAGTGATCATTCTATTCCAATTTTTTATTTCTTCATGATTCAATCTTGAAAGTTTGTATGATTCTAAGAATTTATTTTTTCTAGGTTGTCCAATTTGTTTGAATATAGCTGTTCATAGTAGTGTCATAATCGTTTATATTTCTGTGGTATTTGCTGTAACTTATTGTATTTTGTTTCTGATTTTATTTGAGCTTTCTCTCTTTTTTTTTTCTTAGTGAGTCTAGCTAATGATTTGGCATTTTTGTTTATCTTTTGAAAGAATGAGCTTTCAGTTTCATTGATCTATTCTATTGCCTTTTAGGTGTCTGTTTTACTTATTTCTCTCAGATTTTTATTATTCTTTTTCTTCTACTGATATTGGGATTTGTTTGTTCTTCTTATCCCTTCAGGTGTAAGATTACATTGTTATTTGAGACTTTTCTTGCTTCTTGAGATAGGCCTGTATTGCTATAAACTTCCTTTTTAGTACCAGCTTTGTTGAATCCCATAGATTTGGGCATGTCTTATTTTCATTGTCCATCAGATATTTCAGAATTTCTCCTTTGATTTCTTTTTGACCCAGTAATTTTTTCAGTGGCATGCTGTTTATTCTCCACATATTTGTGATTTTCCAGATTTCTTCTTGTAGTTGATTTCTAGTCTCATAGCATTTTGGTAAGAAAAGATGTTTGAAATTATTTCAGTCTCCTTAAATTTATTGAGACTTGTTTTGTCTCCCAGTATATGGTCTATTCTTGAGAATGTTGTATATGCAGTTGGGCAGAATGTATATTCCGCTCCTTCTAGGTGAAGTGTTCTGTATGTATCTATTAAGTTTCTCTGATCTAAGTTTCCTTCAAGATTGCTGTTTCCTTTTTGACTTTCTGTTTGGATGATCTATCCATTGATGTACATCTGGTGTTATACTTCCTTAGTATTATAGTGTTGCTGTCAAATTCTGCCTTTAGGTCTGTTAATAATTGCTTTATATATTTTGGTGCTCTTGTGGTAGGTTGTGTGTGTATATGTGTGTGTATATGTGTGTGTGTGTGTGTGTGTGTGTGTGTGTATGTATATAAAGTTATGCCTTCTTGATGTAACTTGCCTTCTTTATCATATAACATTCATCTTTTTCTCGTTACCTTTTTTGACTTGAAGTCTATTTTGTCTTTTATGAGTATGACTACCTCTGCTTTCTTTTGCTTGCCATTTGCTTGGTGTACATCTGTCTTCCTTTCATTTTGAGCCTATGTTTTCCTTTTGAACTGAGATGTGTTTCCTGGAGGCAGCGTACTTGGGTCTTTTTAAAAGTCAGTCCAGCCACTCTGTGTCTTTTGATTGGTGAATTCAATCAATTTCCATTTAGGATGATTGGTGATAAATGAAGACTTAGTATTGTGATTTTATCTTTTGTTTTCTGCTTGCTCTGTTATCTCCATTGTTTCTTTTTCCTTGTGTTTCTGTTTGCCACTTCCGTTTGGTGGTTTTCTATGATGTTTTTCTGTTTCTTCTTGTTTTTTTATGTTCCTCGTCTTTGCTCTAGATTTGCATTATTTGTTCTCTGTGAGGTTTGTATAAAACATCTCATGGATACAGTAGTCTTTTTTTCTACTGCTAGCATCTTATTTCCATTGCCTGTACAGGTTCTGTCCCTTTTCTCTTCCCCTTTTGTGTTTTTTTTGTCACAAATTATTCCTTTTTATGTTGTGAGTTTGTTACCGAATTGAAGTAGCTATAGTTAGCTTTAATGCTTTTTACACTTAGCCTTTATGCTGTGATTATTTAACTGCCTATTTTAATACAGAGTTGCAGTTTTCTGCTTCTATTTGTCACCTTACTCAATGTTTTGTGTACTTTTTTGACTTTTCATTTCAGATAGAAGAGCTCCTTTCAACATTTCTTGTAAAACAAGCCTAGTGGTGATGAATTCCCTCAGCTTTTGTTTGTCTTGGAAAGCCTTTATTTCTCCTTCATAACTGAATGATAACTTTTATGGGTAGAGTCTTCTTGGCTGACAGTGTTTATCTTTAAATACTTTGAGTATGTCATTCCACTCTCTCTTGGATTGGAGAGTTTCTACTGAGAAATCTGCTGATAGCCTAATGGGGATGACTTTGTAGTTCACTTTCTTTTTTCCCTGTCTGCCTTTAAAACTTTGTCATTGACTTTTGATGGTTTTACCCTAATGTGTTTGGAGAAGGTCTTTTGTGCTGAGTTAATTAGGCATTTTCTTACCTTGGTAAGACGTAAACGTCTATATCCATTTCCTTCCCCAGGTTTGGGGAGTTCCCAGCTAGTTTTCTTGAAATAAACTCTCTGCTCCCATTTCCCTCTCTTTTCTTTCTGGGATATCTTTACCATCCCTTGTGTAGCTCTTTCTAATGGAGTTGGATAATTCTTGTTGTATTTATTCATTTCAAAAACTCTTATTACTCTCTCCTCTTCTGCTGTATTCATTTCTGGATTTCTGTCTTCAAAGTCACTAATTCTCTCTTTCATATGGCCTGCTCTATTTCTAATGCTTTCTGATGCATTCTTTATCTCATTTATTGAGTGTTTCAGCTGCATAATTTCTGTTTGTTTTTTAGAGTTTTAATATCTTTGATAAAGTATTCCTTCTGTTCATTAATTTTATCCCTGAGACCACTGAACTGCCTTTTTGAGTTTTCTTGTAGCTTGTTGAGTTTCTTTATGATAGCTATTTTGAATTCTCTGTCAGTCAGATCACAGTCTTCCAGGACTTTGAGTTAGATTCCTGGAGAGTTGTCATTTTCTTTTTCTGATCCCTGTGTTACTATGGTTTTTCATGGTGCTTTATATGTTGTTCCTCTGCTGCTACATTTGAAGTAGCAAACACGTTTCTTATTTGGTTAAATCTTTGTTTGCTTTAATTCTAACAATTCAATAAATTGGTAATTAGAGTCCTTTTTATTGTTTTAAATTTTGTGGTGCTATTGCACAAATTTTTGGTTTCTTTTACCTGAACTGCCTTCAGTTTTGAGAATAGGCACTTTCCACCCTCTTCTGCCTCTGCCAGAGGTGTCACCAATGCTCTTGTCATCACTGCTCATGCCTCCTGGGTTGTGGGCGACTTGCTGCTGCCAATGTTACTGCTATCATTGCCATCATTCTTGGAGGTGCTGGGATGATGGTGGGCACCTCTGCTGTGTCCAGGATTGCCTAAGTTGCGGGCACCACTGATGTGGCAGGGGGAGAATAATGGTAGGGGGTTCTGGGTCGTACTTCTTTGCATCCAGGGTTGTCAGGTCACAGGTGCCACTGCTGTGGACAGGGGGCCAAAGTTGCAGGTGTCACCACACCTGGAGGGACCTAGATCATGGGCCCTGCTGCTGTAGGTGCCATGTTCCCTATGATCTTGGGTGCTGCTGTGGCTGGGAAGCTGGAATCATATGCACCATCTTTACTGCTGTTACCAGGTTCTCTGGCTGTGCACTCAGCCACTGCAGGTGGTAGCTCTAAATTGTGAGCACTGCCTCCACTGTTTCCCTTGTTCCACCACCACTGTGTCTTCCAGTCAACCCACCTTCAGATGTACAGATGTGTGGATCTCGCTGGCATCCTGGTATGTTGGACAGTGGAACCTTTGTTGAGTTATGGATGTTTTACTACTTGTAGACTGAAGAGGAGAGCCAAAGGGAGCATCTTCTTCTGCCATGATACTGACATCACTCCCATGAAGTTGTTTTATCTTAGCATTTTGTCTTGATTTTAATGACCCATCAAGCATTCATTTAATACATAATTATTGAGAAACCATTATGTTCGTAGGTACTGTCTTAGAACTAGTGTTTGAGAAAAAAATATCAAGCAAGAACTCTGCCTTCTCAAAGTTTAAAATGCAGGAAGGATGCATTGGTATTAGATCATACAATTTTAGTATAACTGCAATTCCAGAAATAATCAATATTCTCAGTCTCCCACCTAGAAGCAGTTATTGTATACATGGTTTGATTTTCACTGACTCACAACAAAAAATTTTGCTTTATTGTTTTAAAAATGTCAGCTTTTGCTATTCCGGGTAGATTAAGTTCTTTTGAGCATGGTGTCCAACCACTGAAAGAATTCTTAATATGAAACACTAAAAAGCCAAAAGGAAATGAAATCTGTCACCATTAAACACATACTTTGTTGTGCAGATTTCCTTGGTAACCATCAAACCAATCTCAGAACAAAACCAAAATAAACTAAGGAATAAATATGGCTTTGTTTGAGGTCTTGTATAGTTTTAAAGAGAGTTCAATCTACTTTATTTTAATAGTATATGATGTGTTTACGTATTTCAAGTTGTATTTTTGGATATCTACAAGATTCTTTACAGGCTAAAGATGTGTTCTTTTCTTCTCAAAGCCTGGCCTCAGGTGTCTAAATAGCTATTGACATTTAAGTCAATGTAATTTCCTAAGAGCAGTCATATAAATGCCAAGGGTTTACATTCATCATGTACATTCCCCCCTTTATTTGTAAATCTCTGTATTATACCTAATAGATCTGTGCTTTAAAAATCTCTTTCTTCAACATTTACTAAATAAACACTGTACAAAATCCCCTAATATATGCTTCAGTGAAGAGCTAAAAATACACTTAAATACCATTACAGTAACTGTTAACAATTTCCAATTAAATTTCATGATGGCATATTAAAATATATATGATATAGTAATGTCTCCTTATTACATAGATTGTAATATATTGGATGACACTTTAGACTCCTAAACCCAAAAAGTCAATTATAAAAGTACAAAATAGCCTATACTTTAGAAGTTCTCCCAGAACTTTTTTTTTTTTTTTTTTTTTTTTTTTTTTTGCGGTACGCGGGCCTCTCACTGTTGTGTGGTCCCTGCCGTTGCGGAGCACAGGCTCCGGACGCACAGGCTCAGTGGCCATGGCTCACAGGCCTAGCCGCTCCGCGGCATGTGGGATCTTCCCGGACCAGGGTGCGAACCTGTGTCCCCTACATTGGCAGGTGGACTCTCAACCACTGCACCACCAGGGAAGCCCTCCCAGAATATTTTATTTTCTTGTTTTACAACTGGATATGTCCATAGAAGATAGGGTCACTTCCCTGGTAGTTCTTGAAGTCTACCTGTCAGATAGCTACTGTATTGGCATAAAAGGAATGTGAATTTTGGAAAAAGAGCATTTGGCTAATTAATACGTGTGTGTGTTTTTTTTAAGTGACAACCTGAAAGTATTGTGCTTTCTTTTTTTAATTTCTAGCAGAACAAGATAGGGATGTTGATATGTGGAAGACGAGGTTATATGTCGTAGGAAATCATATAACCAGGTAAAATAAGAGAGGGTATAAGTGACTCTGAGTAGCAGAGTTGACTGTATTAAAATTACAGAACAAAGGCACAATCCAAACTGAAGATACCAGTGGTCTCTGGCTAGCATAGCATTTATTTGGTACTAGGGGACCAAGCATATCAAGCAGAGAGGCCAGCATATGGGGGCAATATTTTGACTTCTGTTTGGCTGTTCGTTGTTGTTTCACGGAGTTTGATAATAGAAAGA